CCCTACATCCCCAGCCCCGCATCTCTCCCCCCGCCCCTGCTCCCGACTCGTCCACCCCTCTTCCGACTCCGGTTCCCCTTGGTTTCCCACCCGCTCTAGCACAGGCACCTCTCTTTATACCTTTCTACATTAAATACCATATATATTCAAGGTATTTGTAGATTAAAGGCGGCGGAAGGCTGCTGTGGAAGGAAGCACAGGCTGAAAGGAGCCATTAAAAACGAGTGGCTAATGAGGCTGTCTCCTTTCAGTGCCCCTTTTGAAGCTGGGCTGGGTATGGGGCTAGAACAGAGGAATTAACCCCGACGGGAAAATCCTTAAGAGCACTGATCAGACAAGCGCGGGGTTTCATGGGATTTGAAGATCACTGAGAGCTCACTGTAGGCTTGAGCCTAGCATGAAGACTCCCTACACTGAGGTTGTTTCAAACGTCCAGCTTGGGATCTCAAGACAGCACCTGCCCCTTAGCTATTCTGAATTGAGCTGAGGTGGCAGAAAGCAATTCAAGAGAGCCCAGAAGTGCTAGTTAAACAACGCGACAGGATTCCTGGCTTCTGGTCATTGCTTCTTGAATTATTTTCATACTTTGCCCAGTGTACAGTTCCCAAAAGAGAAGGGATAGGTCTGGACGTGTCCCTCCCTGACTGAAAAAAACCCCTCTTATTCAGATAATCTGTTCAATTCCGAGCTGGATAATTTAATGAGTCTGATAGGAGCACCACTTCCATGGTGAAATGACACACCTTGCTCAGTTAAGCATTTCAGTGCAGGGTCTGCACCTCCATAGGAATGGAGGAACTATTATGGTGGGACTCTACTTCCAACACATAAGTTTAAGGGAGAGGCAGTTATTGATCAATTTTGTAGTGCTTAGCTCTAGACAGTACTTTAGTTTCCCGAATTGTTCTTTAAAGGTATGCAGCCTTCCCTGTTGCCTTCAAAGTCCAATACAGCATACCTACACCCGGTGTTGCCTGTGGGCACCTATTTCTATAGACCTACTCCCTTTGCTTTAGTTCCCTGTAAAATAAAGAAAAAATCCCTTTCCTATTCTACAGGGAAGTTGGGAAGTGGACTTTTTAGGCTAAATATGTTAAAGACTGAGATATACTGGGATATATAAAGGTAGGATCAGCACCTATCTTACACAAATTAGAAAGGCAGACTTTGCAAGCATCATAAATAAAGATTAGACACTCTGCAGCTAATGAAAACATCTAAGGTTATATTAGTTAAGGTATGAGTTTTGGGAAGTGATTTAAACTCTCCTGAGAATGTGGGAATGCAGATCTACTTGGTACACAAAAAGAGACATTTTTAAGGAGCTTGTCATGGTCTTCACTAATGGTGGAAAGACATAGAGCATGACCATTTGGTGATCAGTAACAGACAACCACACTCATGCTCCAGCTTGTTTCATATGTTACACTGTTGGTCCACAATTCCAATATTTGCTTCCAAGTTGCCATAAAGTCTGAAATAGGTAATGCCTTTTTTGACGTAGAGTGCTTTTTTCTTCCTCCCTCACCGATAGTAAGGAATTGAATTAAAAAGGTATAAATATTAAGAAACAACATGGTTTTATGAAAAATACATCCTAGAGCTCATTATTTTTTCAACAAGATTACAAGTTTGATTGATAAAGACATAAATAATTGATTATGCAGATTGATAAACTGCATAAATTTAGTATTCCTAGAGTACTGTAAGACATTTGCTTTGATTGATACAACACATTCTGATTAGGAGGACAGGATAGTAGAAAATCAATACGGCACGCATTATAAAGATTAAAAATGGGCTAACAGATCTCAGAATGAAACGGTAGAGAAAGAATCATCACTGAGCCTGTGCATTTCTACTGTCAGTTCTTGGTTCTGTTACACTCATCATTCAATGACCTTGGAGAAGCTGGCAGGTGATCTAAAGGTCTGGGGTAATCAGCTAAACACACACTCCCATCATGAATCTGTAGCCAGAAAGCTTCTGTGATCCTTGATGGTATAAATAAGTATACCTGTGAAAACAGATTAAGGTATATAGAAATATGAGTGAAACTTGACTAAGCAAAAACAATCACCATGTACAGAACTCTGCCACTGAGGAAATACTTTTCAAATGGGGTCATTTTAGCTGTACGTTTTAAAATCAAGATCGAATGCCTTTCTAGAAGATAAGTGCTAGCTGAAATGGGAATTAATACAGAAAAGTCACACGACCTGTAGTATGCAAGAGGTCAGACTAGATGATTACAGTAGTCCCCTCTGGCTTTCTAATTTGTGAAAGTGCGTTAGCAAAATAGATTCACCTGATGAATTTTAGTGCTGATTTATCTTTTCTTTTAATTATACTATTTGCATCAAGACTAGTGCAATGGTTGAAATCTGTTCCTTTCATATGCAAGTGAACAGCAAATGCTTAAAAGTATGTAATTCTTATTTTGTTAACTTTTTTCAGTTCAAAACCTGTTTAACATGTGGTTTTACAAACTTCTACAAGCAAAGAAGATAGCGGCTACCCAGCACTTAAAAGAAGCATAAATTCAAGGTTATATCTATTAACCTTCTTACCTCAGGAGAGTACTGTCTGGTACTTTATTTAACTAAAAGGTTCACATACATTGATATCTCTTCTAATCCATAACTTTCCATCACTAATCCAAAAATACTGAAATGAAATTACCAGCCCTAGAAGATCTTGTGGCTTTCAATGCCACTTATTATATGATATTAGACCATGTGAATATAAATCAAACACAATTTTATGCTTTATTGCATCTGATAGCTCACAGGAACTGACATTCATAGAGAACAAACCAACCCATCCAAGTTTATTGCTTTGTCAAACGCATTTCCCCCCTTCATAATAATAATTCTATTGCAGACTTACATTTTTATTAATCACACAAATAGGCAGCATTTTGTCATATCTTAGGGACTGGCCCTTTCATTTTAAAATCTGTTTGATTCAGAGGATTAGCTCCATACTAGTCTAATAGCATATTAAATTAGGAGCCTTTTATCAAAGCAGAATGAATTTTAAAGTTTTTGCAAACTTGGGTTAAGAGGCAGCTGAGCTGGAGGGTTTCTGTTGAGCCTTTGCTGAACATTTTAACAGGTGCTTTCATGCTTGGGAAGCAAACCACATAAGCACGGCTGCTGAAGAGAAATTGACTGCTGTATTGGCAGTAGAGATGTACTGCGTGAATATGTCCTTCCTTCCCATCTTCCTTTCACCGTTCTCATGTCTCACTCTCTCTCCGTCCCCTTTCTCTCTCTTAAGGAATACGCCACATGACAGTTCAATAGAAAACCACCAGCTTTACTGTTTATTTACTTGAGCAATCTTGCTCAGTCATGTTCCAGATTTTGTCTGTGAAGCCCCTCTGGTATCTTTCCTCCTACAATGGTATTTCAAGGTGGAAGTGCTGCTTCCCCGGCAGCAGCACTAAGTAGTTCCTGAGAAGCAGATGGGCTATCATCAGCTAAATAGTGAAGAAGGGAAGACGGTAAATGAGCAAGTATAGAGAAGCCAGGAGCAAGAGAGGAAGATTGATAGAAAAAGCCAAGTTTGGAAAACTATACAGCCATAAAATTCAGTGGGGTAATAAGGGTGGTAACTACCAGGCAGTAAGGTGTAAAGAGCCACAAAAGAAAAATTAATACTATATTTTTTTATGAAAAAGGATGAATTAATCAGCAAATCTTATAAATGTACATAACGATGCTCCATCACACAATGCATTTGCAGTACCACATTTCCTTTAGGCCCCTTCTTGTCTTAGCATTTATTCAGTAATGAATTGTAGGTTAAAGAGGCAAAACTAGTTTTAACATGAGAGAGATTGTTCAAACCTGCTGTTGAATTTTTGGAATTGCTGGTGATATAAGAAGCATCCAGCAATTAACCTTGTTTAGCCAACCTCAGGTATTTTTCTCTTTGTGTGTAGAAAGCAGGATCCTGTTCGGCAGGATCCTGTTGTAAACAATCCAAGAGCTTGCTAAAATACCGTTACCCAAATATAGCAAGAATATCCGCTGTGCTCTATTGATTTATTAGCTCACTAGCACCATTAAAATGAGTAAAAGCTAAGAGAACTTGCTCTGCTTCTAGCAGTGATCAGATAAGAAAGATCAGCAGTTGGTTAGATCATGCCATCTTCATTACTAATATCCACCAACGCAGAACATATTTGAAGTGAAAAAGTCTGATTCTATTCTCATTCACACTACTGTAAATTAGAAGTAACTTCCTTCATATCAGTAGAGTTATGCTGCTATAATACAAATTAAAATAATACACTGCACAGCTGTGCAAATTCAGATGAACTGAAAACAATATGAGAATCTGAGTCTTGGTGAAAATTCTGTTGCATAATCTGCAACAGAATTGCCTAGCATCATTCCTGAATGTTACAGGTATAATTTTCAAGGCGGTACAATTCATACAAAAAAAAAAAGGTACACTGCTCCTCCATGCTTTTCTTGGGCCATTTGCTTATTAACAGCCAAGCACTAAAAGGAGTTCAGAAAAAAAATTGGTTTTGATATATGAAAATGAATGTGTT